AGGGTGGGGGGGGGTTTGGACAAGATGGCTGGATCCACAGGTCTGTGAGGGGGGGTCTCGCTGGGCCTGGGGCTGTTGCGGGGAAGCGGGGCGTTGGGGTCGGGCTCGGGAGGCGGCCCCGTAAGGGCCGGAGGGGTCTCCTTCCTCGGGGTGGGGGGCGAGCTGCCTCTGCCGGGAGCGGCCGGAGTGGGGAGGAGTTACCTTCTGACAGGGGGATAAGGGGAGCGACAGGGGCGCCGGGCCGGGTTGTGCTCCAGGCACGATCCTCTCTGTCTGCAGGGCAGCGACACCCCTGTGGGAGCCTGGCCTAAGGGGCGAAGGAGGGGAGAAAGGGCTCTGTTTTCTGAAATGAGCGCAGTGGGGTGCTGGAGAAGACTTTACCTGCTGAGGAATAGTAATGGATAGATGCGTGTGCGTACAGGGAAGGGAGATATCGCTAGCCTGGTAAAATATTTGTACTAAAGATTAGTACCAGTGTACTATCAGGTGAGTATAGAAGTGTAGTAGTATTTAAAATAAAGGGTTGATTCTTTCTCCTCTTCATGGAGGGGAAATGGGGACAGGCCTGGGTTGTGTTTTGGGGTACGGGTACTCCAGTTTGGTGGTGACTACAGCGTAGTGAGGAAGAAGAGCAAAGCATCTTGCTCTCTCACTAGACAGCCATTGGAGCCAAAGAGTCTCTCTTATACGTAAATGGAAGGGCAGAGAGCTGCAAGTCATCCGAGGAATCCTGTATCAGTAACCAGTATAGCATGTGTTGAGCCTTTGTGTGGCAGAGTATTGTGAAAGGTGGTGGCAGAGAAAGGGACAAGAATATTGCTTCAAGTGCTAAATGCAGAAGTTGAAGCAGCACAATTATGCTGTCTCAGTTTCATTTCATGAGAGGCTTGAAATGTAAAAAGACTGTTCCCCAGTATGAAAAACTGAAGTCTTAAGGGCCTCATTTCCACTTCTCTTGCCCTTGAGACTTTATAATTGGGATTGACAGGGCTCAGGACAGAGGAATGAATGGTTAGTCTAGAGTGAATGTTGGCAACTAGTTTATTTCTGCTCCAGATCAACTGCATCATTGAGGGATTGAGAGTATAAAGAATCAGAAGAAACTTATGTGTATTGAAACTGGTACCTTACTGTTGATTCTGTGAGGAGAACTTGGGCAGGTTTTTGGGGTAGGAGAGTCCTCTCCACTTAGTAATGTGACTTTGGGGATGTGGGATTTACAGAGTGGAATTTGGTGAGGTTACAACAAATTGGGGCATAGAGCAGCTCTTGCAACTCTGAAAGAGCAGACCAAAAAGACAAATTATTACCTATGATAAACTGAGCTGGAATGGATATATTAGGGAAACATGTTTACTCAGCTGAGGATTACTCCATTTTATTTTGTTAAAATTTATTTACTTCCTGGTGTCTAAGTTTAACAGGATTTTATGATTAGTTTTATTATGCAGCAATTCCCAGGGACTTCAGCTTATGTCTGGGTCTTGGCCTGGCATTTCCTGTAATGCGCAGGAAGTAAAGTTGATTTCGGTCATGTGTATTGAATATTGACATTTGCCATCACAGTCCATTCAGTCTGGCTAGTGTAGAATATCAGTTACTAAAAATCTGTGTAGTAAAAAAAGCTATTTTCTTCCTACAGAACATTTAATTCTATAAGAAGAAATACTTTTTGACTAAACTTTCTTAGTTTTATTGCTATAAATGCTCTTCACTCTTACATGTGATATTTTAGAAACTGTACGCTTACTCAGTGTGATTGTTTTTATCTTGGAAATATAGCCACACAAAAAGTTCAAGAAAAGTGGGAGGTGTAGAAAACTATTTATACATGTATCTTCTCCAAACAATGTAGAGTGCTAGTACTGCATGTATGCACTGTTCAAGAAATGAAATTGTTTTAGTAAAATGAAGCAAGCAGACCGAATCATCAACAGAACTGCTGGGAAAATTAGTCAGGGCTTCTAAAGGAAAATACTTACTTCTGTGGAGAAAATACTGTTGTCTTTTTATTGGTATATGCCTAGATTTTGGGGGTGGGTGGGAAGGGGTGTTTGTTTTGTTGTTTCCACATAGTACAGAGAAATTTAGATTTTTAGGACTTCACACAGAAGAACTGCCGTTGCCAGGAAGTTGTGTTATCCTCATCTGTGGAGGAGGGAAGGGAATGATTTGCTATAGATGTAAGATTTAACTCTGCCTAGCTCTGTGAATTTAATCTGCTCTTCCTATAAAGTTAAACTTAATCCTTATTTGTTTCAGAAAAAAATGAATATTTTGGTTGCATGAAGTCCAGGAATGAAATTCTAGCCCCAAGGAAGTCAACAGCAAAACTTGTACTAGGTCAAGTGTCTTAGTTTTATCCCAGAAATTCCTTTCCTGGGCTCATTAGTTCTTTAAACAGTTAGGTAAAAAATGACATGCCTTTAAACAACAGATAATTTAGTTGCTCTTTGATGTGTGCTAAAGAAACTGTTTATGTCAGTGTTATATTATTGTCAAATAAGTATCTGCTATTTAAAATCACCTGTATTGACTAATTTTACATGTAGATATTGCGTTTCATAGAAATGGATATTTGTAAGCTGCAGTTTAATTGATCTTACAATATTGCAACTCCTTCCACTTGAATCTGGACCTAGGTTGTGTGGGTACTGCTGGAGGTCTGGGGAAAAACAAGTCAGTTTTATAAAGAAGAGAACAGCTGTTGATATAATCAGCCAATTTCATACTCATCAGCTGGAGATTTGTTCTGTTAATGTCTTTGAAAATACAGAGCAGAAGATGTAATTTAAAAATAGTTTCAGGTTAAAAGAAATAATTTACCACAGCATGCTATTTAAAATCTCTTGTGTAACTAGAGAAAAAGAAACAGATCAAGAACATCATTAAAAGGAGTTAATTCATGAGTCAATGTTTGCATTTCCATAATTTGGGTTTAACTTAAAATTACTTTATGTATATAGGGTATAGGTACATTTAACTAAAATGTGAATGTTTCCTAAAAGCAGTGATCATATCATTAAGTGGTTAGAATTTGTGTGTGAAAAGATGAGAATTAAGGCAGCGTTGTCTAATACTGTGCTCTAACTATGGGCTGCTAAAGCTTTTGTCTCCTTCCTCCTCAACGGAGGGCTTCAGTAGCTTGGGGGAGGGTGAATAGGGCTGGGTTAATGAAAACTCCCCTGTATTTGCTGAAACTGTGCACTCAGGGGGAAAAAAATCGACTGATCTACAGTCAGCAATTATATGTGAGATTCCGGATTTACTTCTAGTATGTAGTTGCAAGCAACCTTTTTTGAAAGTGTGCTTTATGTCTTTGAAGGAGCACAGCTAGATCCCAAACAAGTTTTCATGTTTGGTTTTTTTTTTTAGTAAAATCCCTACTTCTCATTTCCAGATATTCTGATCTTTAAGGATGAATCTTCTTTGTGTGACTTATGTTGCCCATGCAAAAATATATTTCCCTTTGAATTTATATACGACTGATCCTTTGAATGGAAGTGGCACAATGCTCAATGTCAGTGCCTTGTTCTCTTAACTTTGGATTTTATTTCTATTTGGAAACAGTTAGTGGTGGTGAAAGCAGTTCTAAGTGTGCATGATGGCAGCTGTAAGGAATCTGATATTAAAAATGAAGGGCTGAAAGTGGTCTTGAGTGCATTCAGTCTAACCCCCTGAGCTGTGAAGCAAGGACTGACTGTATCTTTCCCAGTGATTGGGGTTTTTGTTGCTAAAATCCTCCATTGAAAAAGATTCCATAATGTGAGATGGGGTTTTTTAATACTTTCCCTTAAATCCTTTGCAAGTCTTCTCCATTCCAAGTCGAGTTGATAATCTGTCTGTCCTGTGCTTAGGGAATAGAGATTGATGGATCACCCTACCCTGTGTGGAGACTCTTAGATATTGAGCCATTCAGAGGAGTAATAAAGGAACTTACATGAATAAGTGGGATGTAGAAGTAATGTTTTAAAGACTATTTTTTTCCATATAGGAGATGGTATAATTTAAGCTTTGAATCTAGAGAACTTGTGAATTAAACTGCACAGGTAGGCTTCTCTTGTCCTCTGACCTGTTGGATGCCCATTTCCTCCCTCTTTTTTTCCTTGTGGAGGAAATAGTTGTCTGGTTTTATCTAGTATGTTTTACCTTCAAGAATGTATTACTCTCTCCACTTTTTTCTATTATGCTTCCATCACATGGTTCACTTACCCAGAACCTGTCCAAGAAGTCAGTTGAAAAGCTGTTTAGAATTCTATGGTCCTCTTAAGTTTGTCCTGTGCATTTATAATGTTATTTCTGTAAGCACAGAATTCTTGAAGCTGCAAGTAATCAGGCAAAACAAAAGAAGTAAAATACTGTATTCTGTGAGGCAGCAGGCACTCTGTGTGGGGCATTTTTCTATCCTGTCCTATGCACAAGAATTGCAACTGTGATTGTTCTGCCTGCTTAAAAACATCTTGGCAAGACGCAAATAATTTATATGTGCTTCAGCTGGGTTGAGAACAATCTAGTTTACAAGTGACTTTTAAACTATATATAGACCATCAGTTCTTTCCAACTTCGCAGCATATATAGGCAAGTTACTCTGTTTCTTCTCAGAGCTTTGTCTGTATCGTTTTCCTTCTTTGTTGCTGGTATTTTACAACTCTGTCTTTGAATACAAGCCCCAACTTATGTCTTTCTGCAACAATAGCTGTGTAAGAGTATGCTTACAGACTGAACACCTTTCTTCTGGGATAAAAAAGTGGTCTACCTTGTAATCTTATATTTAAGAGTTTGTTTGAAATCCAAGGATGTTATCAGGCATAGCTTTAAAGCCCATTATCTAAACTATTCTGTACAATCCTGGAAAATTTTAGCCTGGTTGAAGATAGAACACACAGTTTCAGGAAGGTATGTCTTTCAGCAGTTGGAGGCAGATGCTGCATACTGTAAATCTAAGCACAGATGAGAAGGCTTCTCATGTGTGAGAATTAGATTTACAAGTGTCATGAGTAGTTGGTGGAGTTAAATTGCATACATATTTGTTAGTGTTTG